GGGCAGAAGCCAACCTGTTGGAAAGCAGCGGGAAAGAACAGATGAGCTCTTAAAGCCCCATTTGGATCACGTACTATTAATAATCAGAGCAATAATGTTTTCAGTAAACGAGAAGAGTGCTTCCACTGTTGGTGGAGGTGCACCGAGGCCCTCCTTCCAGAGAATTCACAAGAGAACATGCAGCCAGAAGTCCCTGCTGAAATGCTAAATCTTCTCATTTCAGTAGAAATTCTGCTCGGCGCACCCTGTTCACACCTCCCTTGGTCTTTGCTGGTAATGGTTAATAATAAAAAGCAAACTGTATTGAGCATTTACTATGTCCCGGGCACATGTGCTGGCTCCTCATGAGCGTAATCTCCTGGGCTCTCACAACAGCGTTTAAAGTAGGTGTTACTATTCTCAGGCAGTGACCATTCCTGTCCCCAAGGCAGAGGCCCACCGTGGTGATGTATAAATCCCCATCTGTGTGTTCCTTCTCCATACGGCCTTGTGGGAACTTGGCTTTGTGAGGATCTTCTGCCCCACTAATCTTCATTTAATCCCCCTCCCTGCAGCATGTTGTCACCTAGCACACCCCTGCTGACAGGCTCTCTGTAAGTCTTCATCTGAGTGACGGCCCTGGAAAATCAAGCTGTGGTCTCGAAAGGGAAGGAGGATCTGCAGATTATCTCCTCAGCATGTGCAGTCACTCTGCTGGCAATTCTCAGGGCCGCTTTTATGTTGCCTTAACAAAGAGAACGGCTGCCAAGAGTGTGTAATGTTCTGTTCAGAATTCTCCAGACTGGCAGAGGCTGGGACCGTAGAGACACGGGGCGGATGAAAAAAAAAATCCCCATCTCAGCCAGGCCCATCGCCTTCTGCCCTTGCCTGTGTCCGGAAGTCTTTGTTTTTAAAAATCTTCCTGGTTCTTTATAGAGCCTTGGAAGTGTCAGATGAGGAAGGGGAGAAGGAAGGGGAGTGCACGGGCAAGCTGGCTGGGGGTCAGATCATTTTGCCGTCACCAGCAGGCAGTTTCTTTCACAACACATTGAACCCTGGGTAGCCATTATCATCCCAACTGCTCCCTATTAACTAGGCCAGACTCTGGAGGCCATAAGAGGAAACATGGAATTCCTTTTCCTTTCTGTCACTCTCTAAATACTGCTCGTACCATGTTCGAATAGCATGTTAGAGGTTACAAAGCTTATTGATATACACCATTATGTTTCTCATACCTTTTCTTTGAGATGGTATAACCTGACCTTAATAAGAAAAGAAAAACACCAAAAAAGTTTTCCGTTAGAAAAGAAAAGGAGGGGCGCCTGGGTGGCTCATTCGGTTAAGTGACTGACTCTTGATTTTGGCTCTGGTCATGATCTCAAGGTTGTAAGATCAAGACCCCCCCTGCCCCCCTGCACCGGGCTCTGTGCTGGTCGTGGAGTCTGCTTCAAATTCGCTCTCCCTCTGCCCCTCCCCTTCCCCTTCACCCCCCTGCTCATGCGTGTGCACGCTCTCTCTAAAAAAAAAAAAAAAAAGAAAAGGAAAGAAAGAAAGAAAGCCTCAGAGACATAAAGTGACAATCTCAAAGGTACGCAGCTGAATAAGGTGGGAGCCAGGCTTGTAAAACAGAACTGCTGACTTAAAGTTCTGTGCTTTTCCATGATAGTGTGCCTTCCAGATACTTAGCCAGTTTCCTCTTAGATGGTGTACAAGTGGGGAGGGCGGGGGGCTAGCAAGAGAAACCTGTGTCCTTGGTGGCAGGGAGCATGAAAGCTTACCTGAGCTTCTTCCATTGCCTTCTCTGAAGGGCTCACACTGCTTATTTCTTTTTAACATCATCCTGGAAACTAACTAATGATCATATTGGCTTAAAAAAAAAAAACCCTTGCAAAGAAATCTAAAAGCTGTGAGGGGGAAAAAAATCAATGCAAAGGCATTGCTGAGGGAAAAAGTGCTCAGAGGGAGATGTGGGCACTCCTGCTGTTGCCCTCATCACCCCCCACCCCCCACCCACCCCCACCTCCCCCACCCCGCCAAGCTCTAGCTCTGTTTCTAACTGCAGACTCTTGTCTGGGCAGATATTTTCCCTCTCATTTTAGAAAAACAGAAAGTGAGGACAGAAGGAGCAAATGATTCATTTCCTTGAAGGATTCCCGGAAATTTGAAATCTAAAAATTTTCTCTCTACATGAAAGCAGTTTAGGGATACAGGCCAAATTCAGGTCTTTAGAACTGAAATGTTTGTCACTAATAATTTTTCACCACTAATGGGGTTCCAGGTAATGCTAAGGTATTGCTTCTTGTGTAACTTAGACTTTCTGACCTTGAGACAGGTTCTGAAAAACCCTATCCTTCCAGCAAGGATACTGGTGACATCTCCAGCCCAGGGCAGTGACCAGGCCCAATCCCCAGGAATATTACTTTGCTTGTTGGATCAGAGTTTTAAAAATCTTTTCAGTAATTTTTAAACCAAATGCTATGCATTCCTTATAGAAAAAAAAACCCACTTAAAATACAGAGAAACAACATGAAAAAAACGGCAGTTCCACCACCCAAGGATTACTACAGTTAACATTTAAATACTTTGCTGTATGTAGACATATAAATGTAAACATACATGTATATACACCCATTCATGTTTTCATTACAATGTACTGTTTTGTGATCATATATTCCATTAATATATTGTAATTTTTCCCATGTCAATATATCATCTTCCGCTTCACCATTTTTTTAAATTAAGTCATTTGATCTAGGGCAAACTCAAAGGGTTTGTTTTTTTTTCCTACTTCACCATTTTTAATGACACTATGTTATTCCATTGTATAGAGGACCATTATTTACTTATTTTTAAATTATGCAATACTTTACTCCTATAAGAAAATACCCAGAATCATTACCATCGTTTGTGTACTTCTATCACCTTGAGGATTCCCTTTCCTGGAAGCATATAGTAATTTCAGTGACTAATATTTGAATTCCAGTCTGCAGTTATAGTGCACTCGCACATACGTGATTTCATTTGATCCTCACTACTGCCCTCTAAGATTGGCATCGAGATGATTCTTTTCCTCACTTTATAGACGAGCTGTGAAAAGCTCAGAGAGGTTAAATGATGTATCCAGTACCCAGAGTGGAGCTAACATCAAAAAGTTGGCTGGGCCCAGAGGTAGACGCAAGTCCTGTGACGGGGCAGATCTCCACCCCAGGCAGGGGAAGACACGGGGACAGAAGAGCAGCTCTTCCATGCTCCTTTCTGCCCCCCTCGCTTCAGCGTTCATGATGTGTGCCGACATTATTCGTTGCACGACTGACATTATTCGTTGCACGACTGGCTCCCTGATGACCCTGGCGCACTCTCTGAGGGCAGACTTGCGTCTCCTTTGTCTATCCCTGCTGCCCACCACGAGCCTTAGCACACAGTGAATCCTGGGGCAGCGCGGGAGGGAGTGAGCAAGTGAGTGAAAGTATCACAGAGAGAGGCGAATTGTGGGGCCTGGATCTTGACAGCTTGCTTTCTCCGCGTGTCTATTTTTAGTTCAGACTTTTAACAAGAACCCAGCTTGGTGTTTTTGCTTTTTGTACTTCTGTGGGTTTTTGGTCACCACTGCAAAGCTCACGCATTGATTCATGGAAAAGTATGTTCAAATCCAAGGGCAAGGAGGAACCTGTTTGCATACTAGCTTCTGTCCATCTTTTCCAGTGCCCCCACCCCCACCCCCGCCTGCTGGGATGAACCAGGTTCTCCTCCTCCCCAATTACTTTGATGATATCCCTTATTTGGAACTACTTCTCTTTTTTTATATTGATGATATATGTCATTTTGAAATGCTTGTAGAAACAATAGCTTAGCTACTAGAGCATAGTTTATGAGCGTTGTTTAAAGTTCTCTTATTATTGACTGTAAAAGCCATAGAGCAGAATTCCAAGAAATTTTGGAAGAAAAAAATCATTCAAATCCCATCACCTCGCAAGGCAACAGTTTCTGTTTTTGCATAATCCCCTCAAGGTCTTGTGCATGTGCACACGTTGATTTTCCTGGTTGTTGTCCCGGGGAGCATGCAGCATTGTTTTCTGCTTTTTTCCACTTATTATTGTAAGAACCCTTTCCCCCCATTTTTCTACACAGACTTCGTAATTATCTTTTAATGACTGCATAATCCTCTATTGAGTTGATATACCAAAATGTACTTCTACAGCCCCCCAGTGCTTGCCATTTAAGATGTTTCTGATTTCCCACTAATCTATAATGCTGCAGTGAAGATTGCTATGCGAATAGTCTTTTGCATGTGTCAGATGATTTCCTTAGAATATTTTGCTCTGAGTAGGATTGCCAGGTCTGAGCAGGACCGTGTGTGTGGTTCCTGTCATCCTGCTTCTCCACAGGCGGCTCCTGTTTATGTCCGGCAGCTGATGTGTTTACCAATTTCAGGGCAACCTCATCAGTATAGGGTGCTGTTTAAAGTTTTTGTTTGCTAATTTAGTTGAAGTAAAATGGTACTTTGGGGTTGCTTTATTTTGCATTTCTTTGGTTATTAAAAGAAATTAGCCTTTTCCCCTGTGGTTACTTTTGTATTTCTTGGATATGAGTTGTCTGCTCACACTTACTGCTCTTTACCTACTTCAGTAAACTGGGGGTTTGATTTTAATTTTTTTTTTTAAATCAAACCAAGTGAAATCCTGGAAATCTTTATACATAATAGCTATTGGATTTTGTCATATATGTGTCACGTATTTTCTAGTATTGGGTTTGCCTTTTAATTTTAGATATATATTGAAGTACCGAACTTCTTAATTTTGTAATCAAATCTGTCTGTGTTTTTTTCTGTTGCTTCAAAGCTTAGAAAGCTATCTCCCCTCCGGAACGCTGATAAATATTTAATTCTACCTTCTGTTATTTTAAATTCTCTAATTCATCTGGATTGTGTTTGAGTATAAATTGAGTTGCAAATTACATTTGTTTTCCCCAAACTGCTCATCAGTAATTCTAACCTTTTTCTGTTCCTTTTTTCTCTTTCTCAGGAATCATACACCAGATGAAAGGCGATTATGATACTGCTCTGAAACTCCACAAGACCCACCTGTGCATTGCCCAGGAGCTGAGTGACTATGCTGCCCAGGGCCGTGCCTATGGGAATATGGGCAACGCTTACAATGCTCTGGGCATGTACGACCAGGCCGTCAAGTACCACCGGCAGGAGCTGCAGATCTCCATGGAAGTGAATGACCGTGCCTCACAGGCATCCACACACGGGAACCTGGCCGTGGCCTACCAGGCCCTGGGTGCCCATGACCGGGCCCTGCAACATTATCAGAACCACCTGAACATTGCTCGGGAGCTTCGTGACATCCAGAGTGAGGCCCGGGCCCTCAGCAACCTGGGCAACTTCCATTGCTCTCGGGGGGAGTATGTCCAGGCCGCCCCCTATTATGAACAGTACCTCCGGCTCGCTCCTGACCTTCAAGACATGGAAGGAGAAGGGAAGGTCTGCCACAATCTTGGCTATGCCCATTACTGCCTTGGAAATTACCAGGAGGCGGTGAAGTACTATGAGCAGGATCTGGCACTGGCCAAAGACCTTCATGACAAACTGAGCCAGGCGAAAGCTTACTGCAACTTGGGCCTAGCATTCAAGGCTCTGCTGAACTTCAGCAAAGCTGAAGAGTGTCAGAAGTACCTACTGTCCCTAGCCCAGTCGCTGAATAATTCCCAGGCTAAATTTCGAGCCCTGGGGAACCTGGGTGATATATTCATCTGTAAAAAAGATATAAATGGTGCAATAAAATTCTATGAGCAGCAGCTGGGCTTGGCTCACCATGTCAAGGACAGAAGACTGGAAGCCAGTGCATATGCAGCCCTGGGCACAGCATACCGGATGATCCAGAAATATGACAAGGCCTTGGGTTATCACACGCAGGAGTTGGAGGTCTATCAGGAGCTGAGCGACTTGCCGGGGGAGTGCAGAGCTCACGGGCATCTGGCTGCGGTCTACATGGCCCTTGGGAAATATACAATGGCATTCAAGTGTTATGAAGAGCAGCTGGATCTGGGGCAGAAGCTGAAGGACCCCAGTCTGGAAGCCCAGGTCTACGGCAACATGGGGATCACAAAGATGAACATGAATGTCATGGAAGAAGCCATTGGCTACTTCGAGCAGCAGTTGGCCATGCTGCAGCAGCTAAGTGGAAACGAGTCTGTGCTCGACAGGGGCCGGGCCTACGGCAATCTGGGGGATTGCTACGAGGCCCTGGGTGACTACGAGGAAGCTATCAAGTACTACGAACAGTATTTATCTGTTGCCCAGAGCCTGAATCGCATGCAAGACCAAGCCAAGGCTTACCGGGGCCTAGGAAATGGACACAGGTAAAGACGACAGAGGACAGATGTGGTTGATCACGTGTACAAAGAGCATTTGTGGCCGTGTTGGCAACTTACTGTCTGCACGGTGGCTTGTCACCTACAAAGCATTTTCATACGTATCTTATTTGGCTCCCCCAGTGATTTTGTGAATTTAGCGGGGATATTATTACCCGTACGTTATGGAGGAAGAAGCTAAGGCCCAGAGGGGTTAGGTCGATGTCCAAGGTTACACAGCTTAAAAATGAAGGACAGCTGAGAGTCAAACCCAGGGCTGTCTGACCCCAAATGCAATGCTCTTTTGACCACCTCATAATGAGCAGGATAAAAGGGATAATGGGAACAGGAAAGGTGAATGCATCAATTCAACTGATGTTTTCTGAATGTCTCTCACATTATGTGAATGTGTTTATTAATGCAACACCTATAGCCACCAATTACGTGGACTCCCGTTTTGTTGCTTTTAGGGAAAGCCACCTGAAGATGGCAGGAGTGAATAAATGTATACTATCATCATCATGCTAGGCACCTTACAGAGATATCTTGCTTAATATTTATGGCAATCCTGTATTACTCTACACTTATTATGACCTGCTATGGGATGTGGGATTTACTATCATCCAAAAATGGAGGCTCAGGGAAAGGAATTCATGTGCCCCACACAACTGACTTGGTCTGCCGCCAAAATCCATGCTCTTCCCAGTCTTATCATGTCATCTCTTAGCACAAAAAGACACACTGTTGGCCAAGGTGATGCTTTCCTTCTGAATGTGGGGAACCCAAGAAGGTGTCTGTGTCTGCAGAATTTACGGCCCTTCCAGATCAGCAGGGGATTAGGGCTCCTGGAGTGGAGGAAGGGCAAGAGTCAAACTAAATCATCACCCACAGAGTGCTCTGAGAAGCTCAGGGTGAAAGATTTATAGCCATTGTAAAGTGATTTCAAAAACATAGTCTAAGCAGTAGTGGAAATTGGGAGGCCCGAAGAACCAAACAGTTCACTTGCTATCATTGTGCCTATTAATATATTTTATGTTTCCTCTGGGGTGTATATCCCATTGAATCTCAAGCTCTTGGGAAGGTCACTAAGGGATGACTTTTGAATTGCTTTCCAGATTATGAAATTCCCCTGCATCTCACTCTAAGGGCACATGATAGATTTTAGCTAGAAGAGGAGTTAAGAGCTTCTATAGTAAGTGACAGTGACAAATGCTTTTCATTTTCTCGGGGGCTTTAGCATGTCTGCACCTGCACAAAATAATATCATTGCTTTTCTATCTACATCCCCACAGGGCAATGGGGAGCTTGCAGCAAGCCCTTGTGTGCTTTGAAAAGAGGCTCGTGGTCGCCCATGAGCTTGGGGAGGCCTTTAATAAAGCCCAGGCGTATGGAGAGCTAGGAAGTCTGCACAGCCAATTAGGGAATTACGAACAAGCCATTTCCTGCCTTGAACGCCAGCTGAACATTGCTAGAGAGATGAAAGACCGAGCTCTGGAAAGTGATGCAGCCTGTGGCCTTGGTGGCGTTTACCAGCAGATGGGGGAATATGATACAGCCCTGCAGTACCACCAGCTCGATCTGCAGATAGCAGAGGAAACCAACAACCCCACCTGCCAAGGCCGCGCCTATGGGAACCTGGGCCTGACGTATGAATCCCTGGGCACCTTTGAGAGGGCTGTGGTCTATCAGGAACAGCACTTGAGCATCGCTGCACAGATGAATGACTTGGTGGCCAAGACAGTGTCATATAGTAGCCTTGGAAGGACCCATCATGCCTTGCAGAACTATTCCCAGGCAGTCATGTACTTACAGGAAGGTAAGTGAAAAGGTCTGGGGTGGTCTCTCAGTAAACTCTGAGATCAAGTTCAGAGTCTCCTCGGAAGGAAGTATGCACAGTTTGAGAGTGGCCGCCTCTGCCTGGAGTGAGGAGCTCAGAGGCCACATCATGAGCTCAACTCCAAAACCACAGTGTTCCTTAGTAGCACAAAGGTGTTCCCTCGTCCAGAACGTGTTTCCCGGCTTGTGTAACACTGGCAGCCAGCTGCCCAGGGAGCTGATACCCTCCTTGCTCTTCAGAACCCTCGCCCTTCAGAGCGAATGACACACTCCCCACATGAGAGGAATCAAGTAAGATTTAGTCGCATAAAATTTAAGGGCCCGAATCAGAGGAAAACGCCCATCTGTCCCAAGCCCCATTGTACTTCCTGAAAATATCTAAACCATAAGAAAACTATGAAGAAGTCCATTATGAGGTTGCAGCTGAGGTTTAATCCAGGCTGAGGGTCACTCAAGCAGTCGACCAGGATTCCTTCCCAGTGCTTATTGCCCACAGTGCTTGAGCTGGCGCTATGGCAGTCTCGTTCCAGACAGGCCCAGAAAGTGCGGCTCCCTCCCCTTTCTCCTCCTCTCCCCTCTTCTCCCCCAGCTCCTGTCCTCTGCTGTCAGGTTCCGTACAGCCACCTGAGCCAGTCCATGGACGCTTCCTTCCTCAGGAAGCAGAAGTCCCACAGCAGTGTGTTGGTCCTCCACCCCTTTACACTTCTTCTCTGGAAAGCCCTCCCCCTCACAGGGGCACATGACATCCTTCCATCCTGGCAGGGAAGAACAGCAGATAGGATGTTCTTGGCTCACTAGTAAAAGGAAATAGTTGCTGATTTCCAAGCAGAAACTCCCATTTCCAGCTTCCAAGGATCCGTGCACGTATAGTTTATTTATTCGGATATCATTCTCACAGTAACCTTCAGAGGTATATCTCTCTTCCTGTCTGCGGCCAAATGACCTGAGCATCAGAGAATACAGTGGCTTGGTCCTGACCATGTGGTCAGTTCATGATGGAGTGGGGCCCAGCCCAAGTTTTCCAACCCCAGGAACCACACAAGACCCTGTGTGGAGTTGTTTCTAAGCACGGAGCAGGGTTGGAACGGTGATATATCCCCCATTACTCCTGAGCCCCAGCTGTGAAGCCAGGAGGGAGGGAAGCAGGAAGCAAAGGGGAGAATGGACCCAGAGCTGATGGTTTGCTGTCATACTTTGTACAGACCAGGGATTGCTCTGGCCTGCAGGCTGAGAGATCATGGAGAGGCTGGGAGCCACTCCCCAGACCTTATTTTGCTCCCACTCCATGGGCGCTCTGCCTCCATGCATTAAATATGAGAGTTGGCTTTGGGTTTCCTGAAAGTTGACTGTGGTAAAATTCCAACAGACTGGGGCAATTTTCAGTCGAATTTGTGAAAACTATTAAATTCAGACCCAGCATATGACAACCTTTCAGCTGTGTTCTTTTGTACTTCCTGAAATATTGTTTCCATAAAGCAGCTGCTTTGCCTGAGACATTGTAACATAATTCTATATTTATGGAAAACTCTCAATTTCATTTTTTACTGTTGTAATTTTAAATCTCACAGAGATCTAAATTCTCATCGTGGCATTTCCATGGTGTCTGTTCCGTGGATGTGCTCCACCAGAGAGCCTGGTGTGCCTCATGGGCCAGATTAGATGCCTATTCTTAGGAGCTGTTACAGGTGCGGACACCTGGAAAGGCCTTTTCTGAGTTCTCTGAGTCAGAGAACTGCAGTCTCTGCAGCCTTATGCAACTGAGGGAACAGTTCAGCCAGAAACCACCTTGGTGCCCCCGCCCCCTGGCTTTCCAAGGGGGGCTGTAGGTCAGCATCACCCTGCCCCAGGGCATTAGAACCTCACAGGTGGGGCCTGGTCTGGGATTTTTGTATAAGCTCTCCAGGTGATGTGTATAGACAACCATGGTCAAAGCCACTGGTCTCATCCAGCTTTTTCTCTTTTTGCAAATGAAGAAGAGGAGCCTGGACCCATTTAGTGACCTACATGGAGTTATATGCAACTAGTTCCTGGGAAACCAGGCTTCAGGGATGCCGGGTGGGTGGGTTAGATTCCTAAGAGGCAGAGGCAAATAAGAACAGATGGGACCGATATCGTTTCTGCCTGGGGGCTTTTAGCTCTTCATCGGAGAACCTCTGACTATGGGCTGGAGTGTGTCCTACATGCTGGGGATCCAGCAGGGAACAAAGTCCCTGCTCGCACAGAACTTACCTTTAGGGGGGCTACCTCAATGGATTTTACTTCCAACTCATAGACCCAGATCTAGCAGGAATAGCTGCCTTCGAGAATGAACACGGTTAGTATATTGAAGGTTAAAACAACTAGTATTCTCCTGGTTTTCACCCAAGCACCATCTTCCATTTGTGTTCCTATTCTATGAGGTATTTTAACATGTGAATAATTTACAAGTATTATTTTTGTTACCCAGTGACATGATTTAAACTTAAGTGCATTGTGAAATGCATAATATTTTATGAGCGTGAACCTGAATATCACTTTTATTATCCTCTCAACTGACTCAGTTTCTTTTTAGAAGTCAGAAATTGCATGGGCCCAGCATGCTCAGAGGCAGGCTCCCATCCACCCTAAATTGGATTTTAAAAAGGAAGTCTTTCCTTTGTGTGCATTTCTGCACAAGCTAACTCCTGTGTACAGAGAGCCAGATCATGAGGACCAAGTGATGCTGAGAACTGCTTAGTGGCCAGTACAATAAATGGTTGCCCTCAGATTTGGTTCTCCCAAAGCCCTGGGGTTGCTGGTGTCCCGAAAGCCAGAAGCTTGCTGTAGGTAAGTGACCCAAACTGCAGGTGTCTATCTGAAGGCCATTAGAATGAGGACAGTCTCATTTAAGGCTTTCAGCTCATAATAGTACTTGTTCTGTAACCCTGCCGAGGCATATCAAAGTCTCAGCCTTAAAGGAAAAACAGACTGGACATGAAATGCATCAGTGGCATCAGTAACAGAAGGCAGGGTAAGACAGTGTGAGCATTCTGCTTTCAGAAGAGCATCAGATGTGTCTCCCATTGACACTGATTGGATGCTACGTACGTGAGAGAGGAAAGAGTATTAGCTTGGCTTCTGTACTTGACTAGAACTGTCAGGAAAAGCTTTTGCCCGCCAAGGAATTCGGTTAGATAAATTTATAGGCCAGGAGTTTTCATTTGCAGAGCTAGGGATTTCACAGCTGGGAGGACAGCCAGGTTAGGTTCCATTCACATTTCAGTGTTTCTGCTGGCCCTGCAAACCTGTTTCCTGCTGATAGCCATCACCTGAGCTCTTGCTGGGGCATCCTGGAGTGTCCTGGAAAGGTCGCCACTAACACAGAATTTGAAGAGAATGCTTACTCTGCCTTGTCTGATTCTACTCTTGTCCTGCATTTTATTTAGCTGTGTTAACATTCTTTATATACACCCCTGAGGCAGAATTACCCTCCAGGACTCCTTGGGTGGGGGTGGGGGGTGGGGGGTGTCTGTCTTCTGTGTGTCTTTAGCATTTCTCTATCTGATTTCAGGCTTAAGGTTAGCTGAGCAACTGGGCCGAAGAGAAGATGAAGCCAAAATTCGACATGGTCTTGGCCTCTCCCTTTGGGCTAGTGGAAACCTGGAGGAGGCCCAACACCAGGTGAGCAGGAGAACCCCTGTTCCAAATGGATTTTTTTTCCAGAAGCATGGATGGCCTTGGCATTACTGTCCTAGTAGTGATGACATTCACGAGAAGGTGCTAACCTCTGCCCTTGGGTTGGTGTACGGGATCTTCAACCCAGAAGTGTTGAACCATAGTGAAGATTCCTGCTCACTTATATGATAGATTTCTCAATGATTTCTTTGGCATTCTTGTGTTATGTGCTACCATTCCTCATTAAACCTGGCTCTGGAGACTGGGAAGATCCTAAAGCTGTGGTTCTTCTGTCAAGCTGAAGGAGTTGTGAGATGGTGTCATCCAAAATCCCACACTCAACTGTTTAGGCAGTGAGTAATTACTGCTGAGGCATTGTGCGAGGCCTGTGAGGTGCTCACAGGAACTGAGGAGGTGATGTGACTGAACTTGTGCCACGGCCTCCTGGAATGTGATGGTATTTTACTCCCCTTTTTAAACTATTAAAGGCAGTTTAAAGAATTCTTTAGTTCCTTGTTTTAAAAATTAAAATTTATATTGCTATAGTGATTTGCAATTTTCAACTACTGTCACTCACTGAATTTATTCCTCGAATAACCCTGTGAGTTAGAATGACAACCATCCCCTTTATAGAAAAGAAGAAACTGAGGCTCCAAATATTGCCCAAGGTCACAGGATGAATTAGTGGTAGAGCTGGGGATACTAAGTCTCTAAGTCTCTTAATCTTGGAATTCTGTTTTTTAAATTTGCATGAACTTAAAGTTGGATACAACTTCCAGCATATAAATATTAAGAGAAAAGTCTTGTGGAGAAGCCACTTAGAGCAGCAAGACAGTGTCTCTGTAGGAATGTCAAGCATCCAGTTCTGTGCATGTCCCCGTGAGCAGGTGTGGCTGCAGGGGAGCTTGTCTGGGGAAGACCTGTCCCTGATCACTGTTGCGGAGGGCAGTGTTTGATTCAGCTGAACTGCCTGCAAAAGGCCGACCTCCTCCTGAAAGGGTGGCTGCCTGCACCTCCTTCCCCCCACCCCAGCCTCGTCCATTTCCAGCCTGCCTGCCCCACATCCGCTCTCACTCCCACCCTTGGGCTCCGTGAGGCCAGGGGCACTAAATTATGGTTGCTTGATGACAAAAGGAGAGACTTTTTGTTTGTTTCCATCAAAATCAGCACTTGTTTCGATTAACAGCTGATTTTTTTTCCTTGCAACTTTCAGACGAGAAGTCCATAATCTTTTTCTTTTAGATCCCCTGATCAAACTGAGCACATAAACTCTAATTTCCTGGGTGTGATCTGATATGATGCCTCTTCCAGTCCACAAGGACCTACCTGGAAATGAAGATTCATCCTTTCAAACCTCTTAAAAAAGTGTTTTTAGATTGGGGCACCAATTTGGGTGTAGAAGTTGTCTCTGGTCAGTGCAGAAATGTCTCTCGTTTCTGGGGAATGAATGACGTTCTCTGTCCCCTACTTGCAGCTCTACAGGGCATCAGCCTTGTTTGAAACAATCCGACATGAGGCGCAGCTGAGCACAGACTACAAACTCTCCCTCTTTGACCTGCAGACTTCGTCCTACCAGGCCTTGCAGCGGGTGCTCGTCAGCCTGGGTGAGAGCGGCCGGGGTTCCCACTTCTTGCGAGCGCACCTTCGTGTCTGAGTCGTTCCAGGGTTGCTGGGGTGGAATCTGATTCGTTGTTACAACAGGCCGTGAAGCCACGACTGCAATCCAGTCATCGAACATGTGTTCGTTTATTCAACAAATATGTGCAGAGCACCTACCAGGTGCTGTGTGCCAGTCCTGGGAATGAAAGTCAGGAAGGCCCGGTTCCTGACCTCCAGAAGTATTTAGCCTGGTGAAAGACAGAAGTCAGTGAGTCCAACACGGTGTGACTGGTGCTTAGGGTAAAAGAAACTCCCGGTGCTGTGAAAACAAAGCGTTTTGGCAGGCAGACCCAGGAGGCGGAGAGAGTGTCCTGGGGCTAGAGTTGCTTGAGCCAGCCATTCCCCTCAAGTTCCCTCCCACCATTAATACCTGGGGAGAGTACCTGAGAAGATGCCTGGCCTCTTCCCTAATTCCTCTGCCCCATAGGTTTTTCCTTTGCTGTCTAGTAAATGTTTTTACTCTCTGGGTCTGCCCCTGGGCTGTGACCCAGTCCGCGATCGTTCTCCCAGGCCTCTGTGCTGGCTTGCACTGGGGTGGCATGCATTTCCCTCACTGGGGCCTCTGCTGTCCATCACCCTCTTCCAGCTGCCCTGTCCTCTGCCTCTTCTCAGGCCATTTCCCCCAACCCAGAACTTGGGTGGAAGAGGTATTCACCAGAACTAACAATGTCTTTGAAGTTGGATGTCGAGGCCTTGTCAATAAGAACCCGTCCTTTGCTGTGTGTATCTGAATGCTCAGACTTCCCCCTTGAAAAATGTATCTATTAAATGTGCTCAGTGCCTGAGATTACAATTTATTATCTATTATAATCACAATGTTAAGGCTGTCTAACACTTCGGGGCCGATTTTCCAATGTGTACAGAAATCATCCCTGCTGTTCCAGTTAATAACTTAATAGGGTAAAGAAAACATTTGCATACACACATGTAAACCCCCACTTTCTACTGATACTGGAGCTGCAGGAAGCTAGGCACCCTTGAAGAGCTGTTGGAGCTGCAGCATCTGGTCTCCTGCCTCTGCCGGCTCTCTCTTTGGACCCTAGTTGGAGCAAATCTTCCCTATCTGTATTTATGATGCGAGCAAATCCTCTGCATTGTATTCTTTCTCAACACTCTAAACAATCCTCATTTGAAAGTATGTTGCTTTATATTTTTGGTGCCCTCATGTGTATGCATTTAGCTTTTAAGCTAGATAACAGACTAGTCTCTTAGGGAAAGTGGGATCAGGAATTGGACTGAAAGACTGGGGAAAAGCTTTGAAAGAGAGAAGCAGTTTCAAAGAACTAAAGACTTCAGAGGTTTAAACCCTTTGCCCGTGGGGACTGGAAGAAAAGAGAAGCGAATGTGTGGGAGCCTAGGAATGGAGTGAGGTCTCAGCCCTAACAATAACATCACCTGTTACGTATGTGGTACTTTGAATAACCCTTTCAGGCATCCTCACACACAGCACCTCTGTTAATCTTTACAGTAGCCCTTTGAGATAGGCAGGGTGACTGTTAGGACCCTCCTTTTGAGCCAAGGTCAATGAAAGGGAATAGGACACATTCAGCAGAGGGACTGGCAGGTGTAAAGGCACAGAGGTGTCACTTGGGGAGGGGTGTGCCTCACACTGTCTAGTGGGGCTGGACAGTGCAATGCATAGAGGGGCTGCATCGAAGAAAGAGAGGAAGACGTCAGGAGCCGGGTCCTGTAGGCTTATCTGCCAAGGCCAAGGCAGAATCAGAGTTGAGCAGGGAAGTGAGAGGGTAACCAGCATGCAAAGCATTAGGTCCAAATAGCTAAAGTGAATGGGGTCAGATGCCAGGAGGCCAGGGAGCAACTCAGGATGTGGATCGGAGAACGGGCAGGGCTGAGGACCAGCCTCTGAACAAAGTTGGCTCTCTTGGGTATGGCTGTCGACGGGGGAAAGCCCAATGGCTTAGGGTGGTGGGGGGACTCTGAAAATGTGGGGTTTTATGAGTGGCGTGGCACTGTACCCATCATCTGAGGCAGGCGGTTGGTTGCGAAACGGAGACTGTGCCTCACAGAGGAGTGCAGAGACAGTGAGGTTTCTGCCCAGGATCTCTGTACCTGATGGTCCTCTGTGGGTAAACACACTCCCCCAGGGACTCCTCACCGTGTGGCTTTTGTTTCCTAGGCCATCACGATGAAGCCCTAGCGGTGGCGGAAAGAGGACGGACGCGGGCATTTGCCGATCTTCTGGTAGAACGACAAACAGGACAACAGGACTCCGACCCCTACTCCCCAGTCACTATTGATCAGATCTTAGAGATGGTTAATGGCCAGAGGGGACTAGTGCTTTACTATTCCCTGGCCGCAGGCTACCTGTATAGCTGGCTGCTTGCTCCTGGGGCAGGTAAGATCTCTCTCTATGGGAACTGGGCAATTAAGACACTAGACTGTGAAAGTCTAATGAGTAGAGGTAGAAGAGGTGCATTACCGTAGATCAGACTAAGGAGCTGGTGTCGGCTTTCAGTAAAACCTCAGCCACGGCGGATGTTCTGTGGTGGGGCATTCAATTAATAAGACAGCCCAGCTTTCTCATTCCCCCAAGAAATTGCTGCTCCTCACTGGTGAATGTGGAAGCGTTTTTCAAGGAACATGAAGAGCAGGGGGATTAATTTCACCAGCAGCCCTATTTTTAGGCAGCTGTTGTTCATTAGCTAATAAAGCGATGACTGTAAGTCCTAACGAGTTCTTTCTAGATATGATTTAATAATTGTGACCCTTTGTCATGGTAAAGTTAGACTAAAATGATAATGGCAACTCTTATCACAGTATATAAATGAAGTCTTATGCTTGAAATTTCCGAGTTTAGCAGAACCCATTTTAACCAGTTCTGTTGTAAATCTATTTCCGAAGTAAAAATCCCCTTTGATTAAATCGGCATTAAACGCTCAGGCTGTAACTGTTTCACTAAATACAGAACCACTAATTAGCTGTTAGGGCCATATTTTTTGCATAATAAAATGCTGATGGCTTTACCATGTTGGAGACACACCAGATCCAATTAGAGTTTATTGACTGGGGAAGTGGATCTTATAATTGGGAATCTTGAAGAATGGGCTTCTTGAATTTCAAAGTTCAACTGCCAGGGAGAATTGACAAGATTTTCTTGATTGTGTTTCTGGCCCTTTGATTTAAAAAAAAAAAAATGATGGCTGGATGACAACTCTCAGATGCCTCTTGGGTTCTGAGCACTCACACCTGTACATTCAGTGGCTTGGCATTATTTTTTATAATCTTTTCCCCTTAATTCCTTGTTTTTTATGGACTTTCCATAAAGAACATTCTTATCTCTGACCTTTTTATGCTGAAGGTTTTAGTTGTGATGTTCATGGTGACTTGGTGAGTGTCAGCTGCAGTGGAATGAATCCCTGTATATGCCCCGTCCCCCAGAGGGGCCTGAAGCCTAGGAGGACATGGCTGATGATGGAGGTATCAAGCTCTTTCTCTCTGTCACTGTTATGTTTTGGGGACATGATTTGACAGGTGGTATGTCCAAATCCCTGTAATAATGAGCCATGTATAATGAGGCTCCCATTGTTTCTCTTTCCCGTCCTCTTTGCTCTTAATGAGACTCTGAAGCTTTCACTGGGGCTCTAATCCAATCAGAGAGGACCAGCCTTTTCCAGGGCTGACACACCTCATTACCATTTGAGAATATGTCCTATGTTTATTGCCAGAAAACCACTATGTATTGCTTCAGTTTCATGCAGCCATAATTTTTTGCTCCTTTAATCCATTAATGATGGTTGGCCAGTTAGTTTTATTTAAAAATGGTTTGAAATACTTTTATCTGGCCTTTTTATGACGACGTATTTATTTATTTATTTATTTAAAGATTTTATTTATTCATTTGAGACACAGAGATAGAGAGAGAGAAAGCATGAGCAGGGAGAGAGGCAGAGGGAGAAGCAGGCTCCCCACTGAGCCAGGAGCCCGATGTGGGGCTCGATCCCATGACCCTGGGATCATGACCTGAGCCAAAGGCAGACACCTAACCCATCTGAGCCACCCAGGTGCCCCGACGACGTATTTATTTTTGACTAGCTTTTGTGAAATAAAAGGTCTTTGAGTAACACAATTTCTACTTGGCTAGTTATATTTTTGTTCAGGATTTCAGTTTCTGGGGAGAACATACCTTGGCATGCTCATGTACCATTCGGGAAAGAAAACTTTCCCTAGTAGTTGCTTCTGAGAAGCATCTGTTTGGAAATACATATGAAGTAGTCATCATTCCATGAGCTTCTGAATATAGTGTCAAGAGCAGAAGCCTTATCTTGAATTCCCTGGTTTCAAGCATCAAACCTGACGACGAAAGCTGTAGAAATGGGTACTGACCAAATTCTGGAAAGCCCTCTCGAGACCTCGGATTTCAGGATTTCTTCACACAGTTTGGATGGCATGCTTGCCCAAGAGCACTATTGCCTGTCTCCAGCCCTCCCTCCCACAGCCCTGGTCTTGCATAATGTTGGCTGTGCCTGTCTGGTTTCAGGAATTCTGAAGTTTCACGAACACTACCTGGGTGATAATGCGGCAGAAAACTCCAGTGACTTCCAGGCCGGCGGCAGCGCGGCTCTTCCAACAGCCACCAGCTCAGCCCTCGAGCAGCACATCGCCAGTGTGCGAGAGGCCCTGGGGGTGGAGTCTTACTACTCAAGGCAAGTAGTACACCGTTCCCAGTCCCATCTTCAGATACAATCTCTGTATCTGAAGGGGTGTTGGGTGTTTTTCTCTCTTTCTTTTGTAAACATCCTATTTGAGCTAAATGGAAGAAATCTATGGAATTCGCACTTTTGTGTGAAGTCTGTTCACAGTCGCTGCAGGAGAAACAAATACGTGTCCCTGGAGGGCAGACCCCTTCATGGGCTGTCTTTATTCTTTTTGGTAATTTCCTTTCAGATAGGGAAAGTTCTCAGAGATGCGTGTTTTCTAAGGACGGTTTGTTTGTAGGATGTTTAAACCTACACATGACTTCGAATTTAACATTCCAGCTAATTAAAACTGAGGTGATTTTTGGGTTATAAACTGATTAATAATGAGTTTGTTTGTACTATAGCCAAACGCCTGTTTGAGAGAGTAATTTAACACTAGTGACAGGATCTGTGCGTTGTGGGGCTGAGGTGAAGGAAGTTGACCTCCCAGCATTGAGAATAGAGAAGGGAAGTGCTTTTTGCCGATTGTAAAAGTTATATGCTTATGGAAACATTTTATCATGACTGACTATTTTACATACAGAAAATAATTTCCACAAGCACCCTGCTGCTGGGGAAAATGGAAAGAAGAGGGGCCGTAGAACTGGGTGGTAGCCAGATTTTCAGGCATCTCAGCCCTCCATCCTGTGCTTAATAGTGTCAAGAAGATCTGTGTGTCAGAGAATCTTGTGTTAGCTGGTGTCAGGTCCCAGGGACATCTGCTTGTCTCTTGAATGATTTCATTTGCAATCATGGAAATCCTAAGACGTCACCATAATTCTTTGGAGATGCTTATGCCAGACTCCCGAGTGTGTGTTGGTCAGTGCCAGCAGCAGGTTTGATCTTTGGGGTGCTTATGAAGTTGGGCACAAGTTCTTAGATGAACTTGGATAATGTAATGTCAAGAGTGGAAGGTGCTGTCGGGTCTTCTAGCTGAACTCCTTTATTCAACAGAAGCCAGCACGGAATAAGACTGCTGACAGCCAAGTTCGTGTCAGAGCTAAGATCACAACAATAGAGATCTCACCCAGACTCCCAGGCCACTGCTTGTTCTGTTTTTAATTATCAAAATTAATATCATATTTGAGAAAATAGCCGAAGCATGTAAGAATGTCGTCTCCAGCTTCTGTGTGTATGAAGTATGAGCAGGCTTCAGCCACATGCACACATCGTTGTCTTATTTCTTCTATGACTGTGGTGCATCCTGGAGCATCCCTTTCCTTAACCCTGGGTAGCAGTGTGCTGATTACAGGGGCTTGACAGTGTGGTAACCCCGAACACTTGGAAGTATGGCTATTCCTTGAAATGTAATTATAGGTGACCATAAAATCGATTAGGTCAGGGGTGTACAAAGCTGCTTCAGCAACAGAATGGCACTGTAGCCAGTCGGATTCCACTGTAACCTGACCACAGTTATTGCGTGTCCAAAGTGAGTGTTAATGGGGCGCCTATGTGGCTCCGTCGGTTGGGCGTCTGCCTTCGGCTCAGGTCATGATCTCAGGGTCCTGGGATTGAGCCCTGCTCGGTGGGGAGTCTGCTTCTCCCTTTCCCTCTGCTGCTCCCCCTGCTTGTGCTCTTTCTCTCTCTCTCTCTCTCTCTCAAATAAATAAGTTTTTTAGAAATTATTAAAAAAAAAACGGAAACAACAAAGTGAGTGTTAAAAGAATGGTTGGCTATAAAATCAATGCACAGAAATCAGTGGCATTCCTATACACCAACAACAAGACAGAAGAGAGACAAATCAAGGAGTCGATCCCATTTACAATGGCACCCAAAACCATAAGATACCTAGGAATAAATTTAACCAAAGAGACAAAGGATCTGTACTCAGAAAACTATAAAATGCTCATGAAAGAAATTGAAGAAGACACAAAGAAATGGAAAACGTTCCATGCTCATGGATTGGAAGAACAAACATTGTGAAGATGTCAATGCTACCTAGAGCAATCTACACATTCAATGCAATCCCCATCAAAATACCATCCACTTTTTTCAAAGAAATGGAACAAATAATCCTAAAATTTGTATGGAACCAGAAGAGACCCCGAATAGCCAGAGGAATGTCGAAAAAGAAAAGCAAAGCTGGCGGCATCACAATTCCGGACTTCCAGCTCTATTACAAAGCTGTCATCATCAAGACAGTATGGTACCGGCACAAAAACAGACGCATAGATCAATGGAACAGAATCGAGAGCCCAGAAATGGACCCTCAACTCTATGGTCAACTCATCTTTGACAAAGCAGGAAAGAATGTCCAATGGCAAAAAGACAGTCTCTTCAACAAATGGTGTTGGGAAAATTGGACAGCCATATGCAGAAGAATGAAACTGGACCATTTCCTTATACCACACACAAAAATAGACTCCAAATGGTTGAAAGACCTAAACGTGAGACAGGAGTCCATCCAAATCCTAAAGGAGAACACAGGCAGCAACCTCTTCAACCTCAGCCGCAGCAACTTCTTCCTAGAAACATCGCCAAAGGCAAGGGAAGCAAGGGCAAGAATGAACTATTGGGATTTCATCAAGATAAAAAGCTTTTGCCCAGCAAAAGAAACAGTCCACAAAACCAAAAGACCACTGACAGAATGGGAGAAAATATTTGCAAATGACATATCAGATAAAGGGCTAGTATCCAAAATCTATAAAGAACTTATCAAACTCAACACCCAAAGAACAAATAATCCAATCAAGAAATGGGCAGAAGACATGAACAGACATTTTTCCGAAGAAGACATCCAAATGGCCAACAGACACATGAAAAAGTGCTCAACATCGCTCGGCATCAGGGAAATCCAAATCAAAACCTCAATGAGATACCACCTCACACCCGTCAGAATGGCTAAAATTAACAAGTCAGGAAACGACAGATGGTGGTGGGGATGCGGAGAAAGGGGAACCCTCCTACACTGTTGGTGGGAATGCAAGCTGGTGCAGCCACTCTGGAAAACAGTATGGAGGTTCCTCAAACAGTTGAAAATAGAGCTACCATACAATCCAGCAATTGCACTACTGGGTATTTGCCCCAAAGATACAAATGTAGGGATCCGAAGGGGTACGTGCACCCCAATGTTTATAGCAGCAATGTCCAAAATAGCCAAACTGTGGAAAGAGCCAAGATGTCCATCGACAGATGAATGGATAAAGAAGACATGGTATATATACACAATGGAATATTATGCAGCCATCAAAAGGAATGAGATCTTGCCATTTGCAACGACGTGGATGGAACTGGAGGGTGTTATGCTGAGTGAAATAAGTCAATCGGAGAAAGACATGTATCATATCACCTCACTGATATGAGGAATTCTTAATCTCAGGAAACAAACTGAGTGTTGCTGGAGTGGTGGGGGGTGGGAGGGATGGGGTGGCTGGGTGATAGACATTGGGTAGGGTATGTGCTATGGTGAGTGCTGTGAATTGTGCAAGACTGTTGAATCATGCAAGACTGTTGAATCACAGATCTGTACTTCTGAAGCAAATAATGCAACATATGTTAAGAAAAAAGAAAAAGAAGATAGCAGGAGGGGAAGAATGAAGGGGAGTAAGTCGGACGGGGAGACGAACCATGAGAGACGATGGACTCTGAAAAACAAACTGAGGGTTCTAGAGGGGAGGAGGGTGGGGGGATGGGTTAGCCTGCTGATGGGTATTAAAGAGGGCACATTCTGCGTGGAGCACTGGGTGTTATGAACAAACAATGAATCATGGAACACTACATCAAAAACTAATGATGTAATGTATGGTGATTAACATAACAATAAAAATATTTTTTAAAAAAGGATGGTTGGCCAGCAGTAGAAACACAAAATGAGGGAGAGAGAGGAGGGCAGATTTGGCAGTGCTCGTTTCTGACATTGTCAAAGGGAAAGAGAATCTTGGCTAAGGGACTCGAAGTCCCATTGAAAGGCCATTCCCGCAGTAGACCTGCAGTCTTCATGCTCTCTTATCCTTCCCCCCTTCCCTCCCTTCCACAAATACTGGAACACTTGCTATGTACTATGTGCACTAGAGATCAAGAGTAAGGTGGTGAATAAGGCAGACATGGCTTCTGTTCCCAGGGATCTGAAAGATCGGAAACAACAGAGCACATAAAACCTTTTAATTAAAATTGCCGTTGTGCTTAAAGGAAAATGCAAGGTGGATAAAAATGTGTAAGTGGGGGTGGGAAACCCATCCGGGGGAGTTGGGGAAGCTTCCCTGGGGAGGGGATATTTGAGCTGAGCTCCGAAGGATGAGGAGAAATAGAGGAGATGAAGGCCACTCCAGGCAGTTGCACAAAGGTCTTCAGTAACCGTGGTGGAGAAGACCCCTCACGTCATCCCTCTGCCTTCCCTTGTTCAGGTCCTGTGCTTCTTGTCAAACCTTCTGATAATCATTTGATTTCTCCTGTAAGTCTACTTGCAAATAGAGAATGTGCATAAGAAACTGGCATTCTGGTCTGTACAGCTCTGCTTGGTTAACGCTCTCAAGAGGCAAATCCTCTTTGAGCGCATTAACATCCAATTTTCAAATTTGTAAGACCACCAGTCCAGAGCTTTCTCTGAGATGAGATCATGAAGGGACACAAGCATGCAGGGCCGCCCATTTGAAACCTCTGCACATGCACGCAGAGGTGGTTTCTGTACGCCACCTCTGTTACAGCACTCTGGTGGCCACACCTAGGTCATCTCCGTCCAAACCAACCCTGATAGGCCTCAGCCTGCGTGAAAATATAGATTTTACTTGATCCCAATTTTCATGGACCTAGATTAAGATTCATCATAAGAAGGAAGGGGACTACCCTTTGACTCTTCCCAGTGCCTGCCCCCACCCCCCATCAGGCACTATGTTTAACTCCAAACACTTGTGCCTACGCAGCTATTTTATATGATACTGGAGCTTGAGTGATTTTGCTTCCAGGTGACTTTTGAATAGAAAACAAATGACTTTTGGGTTATAGTTCAGCTCTTCATCAATGGTAGGGAG